CATTAGCAATAGCAATAGCAGTTAGACTTATATACCGCTTCATAGGGCTTTCAGCCCTCTCTAAGCGGTTTACAGAGTCAGCATATTGCCCCCAACAACAATCCGGGTCCTCATTTCACCCACCTCGGAAGGATGGAAGGCTGAGTCAACCCTGAGCCGGTGAGATTTGAACCGCTGACCTGCTGATCTAGCAGTAGCCTGCAGTGCTTCCATCCTTCCGAGGTGGGTGAAATGAGGACCCGGATTGTTGTTGGGGGCAATATGCTGACTCTGTAAACCGCTTAGAGAGGGCTGAAAGCCCTATGAAGCGGTATATAAGTCTAACTGCTATTGCTATTAAGTGAATTTTGCCCCATTTTATGACCTAACTTGCCACAATTGTTAAGTGAATTCCTGCAATTAAGTTAGTAACACGATTGTTAAGTGGAATCTGGCTTCCCTTTTGACTTTGCTTGTCAGAAGGTCACAAAAGATGATCACAATACTCTGGGTTGCTGCAACCGTCATAAATATGAGCCAGTTGCCAAGCATCTGAATTTTGATCACGTGACCACGGGAATACTGCAATGGTCGTATGTGCGAAACAGTCGAGTCATTTTTTTCAATGCCGTTGTTACAAGTTGAAGACTACCTGGGTAGCATTTACATAATGCTATTTTTTGTTCTTAGTTTTGAATATGGATGTAACAATGAAAAAAGATGATCTCGTCAGGATTATTACATTTACACCACCATTGTATAAGCAACGTTACCATTTTATTAAGCAGTTGGTGAATAAGCATAAACCTAAAAAGGTTAGTATGTGTTTCCTAGTACAATTTTGTTTTAGTATGGCTGACTTGCATTCGAACTCTTAATCCTTAAAGTTATTATTTTGCTGTAATAAAACACAGTTAAAAATTGAATTAGGAATTGTAATACTCTGGGACAGTGATGGAGAACCTTTTTCCCCTTGGGTGCCAAAAGCACAAGCGCACTCACGCGCTCGTGTGCCCATCCCATAACTTTAATGCCCCCCGTGGCGTGCCCCCTGCGCATGCACGTGTGACCCCACCCACCCACCCCCGCTGCCCTGCGCATGCACACATGGCTTTCTTGGAGCTGGGAAAGGTGAAAAGGGCCTCCCCTTCCCCCCGGAGGCTCTGGAGGCCTGAAATGGCCCATTTTCTGACTTCTGGTAGGTCCGTTTTTTGCCCTCCTCATGCTCCAGGGGCTTTCCAGGAGCCTGGGGAGGGCCAAAACTGCCTTCCTCGCCCACCCGGAGGTCCTGAGGAGGGCGGAAGTGGCCCATTTTTGGACCTCTGGTTTGCGTGTTGGACCGTTTTTCTCCCTCCGGAGGCTTCAGGGAAGCCTCCTGAAGACTTCATAGTGTGAAAAACATCTGAAAATGAAGGCCAAAATCAGCTGTCCAGTGTGCACATGCATACTGGAGCTGACAGGGCAACGCCTCGTGTGCCCTTAGAAATGTCTCTGCGTGCCACCTGTGGCATGGGTCCCATAGGTTCACCATCACGGCTCTAGTAGTTCCCAAACTGTGCACTGCAAGTATATCAGAATAGTTAGACAGTTTTATTTAGTAAAATACCCTGTTACGGTTCCCCAAGGCAACACAGTGTACAGATTGGGAATCAGGCTGGACGCAGACCTTGAAAGGCAAGCGGGCATGGGGGACGGCCGTGAAGGCCGCATGGAAAGCAGGCAAGCATGGCAGGGGAAGGATGTAGGCTGCTAGCTCCCTTCCCTGCGACTGGCCAGCTGGCCCCGACATGCTTGCCTGCCTCCCACACAGCCTTTCCCTTGCCTCCCTTCGTAAGCTGGCCACGGGGACACCAGGAAGGCCGCATGGAAGGCAGACAAGCAAGGCAGGGCTGTGGGCCACGGGCCGCAGGGAAGGGAGTAGGGGAGGCAGCTTGGGATGGTGGAAAGCAGAGACTGGGTGGGGTGGGGTGAGCGAGCGGCAACCAGGGGACTGGTTCGGGGGTGTGGCCAGCCAGCAATCCCTATCGGTTCGATGACCCAGGCCCAATGCCCACTACCGGTTCTCTCAAACCAGTCCAAACTGGTAGGACATGTGTGTTATGATGAATTGTATTAATTTCAAATTAACAGGTAGCAGATTTGGGATGTGCTGATTGTAGATTACTCTGGATGCTGAAATTCTGCAATTGTATTGAAGAACTAGTTGGGTTAGACATCAGCGAAGAAGTGATGAAAGAAAACATGTAAGTTGAATATTTTAATTCATTTTGGGAAAATGTTTTGTGCCCCAAAACAACCAACCAACCAACTTTCCTACCTTCCTTTCCTTTCCTTTCCTTTCCTTTCCCTTCCTTCCTTCCTTCCTTCCTTTCCTTCCTTCCTTCCTTCCTTCCTTTCCTTCTTTCATTCCCTCCCCTCCCCTCCTTTCCTTTCTTTTCCTTCTTTCATTCCCTCCCCTCCCTTCCTTTCCTTTCTTTCTTTCATTCCCTTCCCTCCTTTCCCTCCCTCCCTTCCTTCCTTCCTTCCTTCCTTCCTTCCTTCCTTTCCTTCTTTCATTCCCTCCCCTCCTTTCCTTTCTTTTCCTTCTTTCATTCCCTCCCCTCCCTTCCTTTCCTTTCTTTCTTTCATTCCCTCCCCTCCTTTCCCTCCCTCCCTCCCTCCCTCCCTTCCTTCCTTCCTTCCTTCCTTCCTTCCTTTCCTGTAACTCTCTCCTAAGAGAGTTTTATTTTCCATTTCTGAAATATTCTTTAAAAATATTGATATGATAGATCAGTGTCTAATTGAGAGTTCATTACCACATTTTAGAATTGAGAGAACAAAGAATGGTCGTTTGTTTCTGATCTTTCTCACATATACAATCTGCTATTCATTTCATTTCTATAAAGATCTCTAGCACAATTAATCAAAAAGTAATATAATCATTTTGCTTTCCCGATACCATTTTTGTACCTTGTGTATGTTGCAATTTTTAATTAGTAAGGAAAACTTACTATTTTCATTCAGGAAAATATTTAAGTGGACAGAAGTTGCAAAAATAATGCTGTATGAAATAAATTCATTGTCCACAAATTAAGAATATTTTATTTAATATATTAGTAGTCCAACATATGTCACAAAAGTATAGTGATGGACCAAGGAGATCTGTGGGTATCCAAAGAAACAATGTCCATATCATTCATAAATCAGCCAGATATTATTCAGTTTGTACCAACAGTGTATTGGATGGAGGAGAATATTAAAACTCAAGTATTTTTGACTTACACAGTTTTCTTCCACGTTGAATGACTGAAGCTGAATTTTACGTTCATGATTTACAGCACGCTCAAGGTGAAAAGGGAAACAATGTTTTGTGCCCCAAAACAACCAACCAACGTACCTACCTACCTTCCTTACCTACCTTCCAAAACAATGCTTTTATTCTGTGTAATTTATTTGCTCCCAGGTATATGTTGTCTCCCCTTCCTAGTGACTATCTTCAGCCAAGTGAAAGACAGCTGACAGTCACACTTCTTCAGGGCTCAGTTGCTCAGAAGGATCCTTGTATGCTGGGCTTCGATATGGTAACCTGCATTGAACTGTAGGTATTCCTTTATATTTCATATTAGTTGATGAATGTTTAAAAAGCAAACTTAGATGACTAAAATCACAATTTTCTTTACGTATGCTACTGAAATTCTGGTTCTTATTACCTTTGATCCAAAGTACCTCAGGGGGGCNTTTATCTTTGACCTAGCTTTAAGAATTAGGAATTGGGTAGATCTTTTGGGAAGCTTTAACTGTTTTTGAATTGACTGTTTTTAATTTATTTTTTTTATTTTTATTGATGGATGGATGGACTGTTTCTAACATAAAAGGCTTTGAATGGGAGAAAATCTCAGTATACCCAGAGTAATGTTGATTACTAATGCAGGTATTGTAGTAGCTTCAAATACTGGCTTGTTGGTAAAGCTTTAAAGTATTCAGAGAAATAATTAACCGGTAGGTGGTTAACAGTTTTTAGTAATGACCTATATTTGCTAAACAAGAGAAAAGAGCCCAGCCTGGAAGATTAATAAAAGAATGTGTTTAAACAGCTTATCTTCTGCCTTTATTTTGCTGTGTGAAACTGGATCATAACTTTTGTTCATTGTTTCAATATCTTCGAATAAACAGCAGAAGTGGGAGTTTTGATTTCCTACCTACAGTATGTAGCATATATGTCTGGTGAAAAATGAAGGTATGTCTGCCTTGCATATTTTCCGTTTAACAGATTGGAATGAGCTAAATGGATTGCAATGATAAGCCGAAGCAAGAAAGAACAAATCCATAGGAAGGGTGGGTGGGGAGATGAGTTGGCAGCAAAGAACTTAAAAGGGAATGTAGAGTATGGTTGGGGGAGAGATCTATATAGGGAGGGAGGATATGGTCATCGGATCCAGCTATGGAGTGAGGGAAGTTTCAGGCTAGTAATTTTAGGGGAACGTGTTGGGATGAAGAATTGGCAGCTGCAGACACACATTCCAGGACTCGCTATGTATTAGCTGAGCAGCTGTCAGGCTCTGTGCGAAGGCTTCTCGCAATCACACCTGCATTCCTGGACACCTTCACAATGAGCCCAAGCCCTGTTCACCATAGGGGGACCAGCCTCTCTATCTCTGCTACTGCCGATCTATCTACTTTCACTCTGGGGCGTCTCTCTTAATCAAATACATTTGTTTTGTAAAACTGACTAAAAATAATCCTGGGCTGGTATGTGCTGGATGTTGGCAGTGAATCAAAGGCTCTGCTCTAATTAAGGCAGGCCCTGGTTTGTTTGTGAGCTGCATATATTTCCATGCTAATCAGCCACACGCCAGGATCCTGCCTTCTAAGGCTCACTTCCTTTGCCTGATTGGAAACTATGCAAATGGACGGAGGGAGTCTATTTATTGCAACCGAAGAATGAGACTGCAACCCATTTTGTGGGGCTTTATTGGAAGGGGAGGGGCAGTGCTTTGGCTGGGGTTGCAAAGATAATGGGTAGGCCAGTGATTCAGTCCAATTATTTACAGTTATACAAAAGGTATCAGTTACTCCTTTGTCATGAAATACTTTTTTAGTCAAACATTCTGCTCAAAGTCATTTAGATTTGTTGACCAAGTATTACTGCAGTTCATAGGGAATAGAATGTAAGAATATAAAACAACACGAATCAAACACAGAGCTTGTCTAGTCGTAGGTTATATTTCTCACAATGTATGCCAACCATATAAGAAATCCACAAAGGGAGCATGATCACGGTATAAAAGAGTATTTTGTCTTTGATTGGAGCAACATAAAAGCATTTTGCTAAGTAGCAGTGGTGGGTTGCAGGCAGTACGCCCTGGTACAGGTGTACCGGAGCCTTCACCACCCATACTCCTTACCTGTCTTTAAACTCTTCGGCGCTTCCGTGCATGCACACGGCACATACAGCGCCTGCGCAATGCTCCTCTGAGCAGCTGGAGCATTGCGGAGGCTCGCGGAGGTGTCGCTGGACATGTGTGTGTGTGTGCGCACTGCATGCATTCATGTGGAGGACGCTGGGCCCCGTTGCAATAAGATCCGGAACCCATCACTGCTACTTAGTGATGGGTTAGGCATTATGGACCACCTCTGCTAAGAATCTGTTCTGTTCCCTTTTAAAACTCCTAAATGAGTAGAATTCTTGGGGAAGCAGAATTGTTCATTGTACAAAGTAATGCTTTCTTTTGTCTGTTCTGAACTTTTCAACTTTCAGCTTTATAACACGACCCCCAGATTCTAGTATGTGAATGAGTGGAGCTACCTCCACACCACTGTGATAGTCTTCAAGTGACCAGCCATTCTGAATGTTTAAGCATGCCACCAATTTTGGGACTGTATACAGTTCAATGGGTCATTTGAATTAGTGCAGGCAGCCCTCGACCTACGACGACAATTGAGTCCAAAATTCCTGTGGTTAACTGAGACATTTGTTAACTGAATTTT